GTTTTTAATTTTCGGGAAAGTAAAGAAATTGTTAGGACTTAGATCGGGACTATATGGAGGACGGTCCAGTAATTCCACGTTTTTTTCCGTTTTTTGGGCTGTGTGCGAGCTTGCATTGGCTTGGTGGGGGATGATTCTTTTTTCGAGGTTGATTTTTCGAAGCTCGATGATGACTTTTGGCAAACAAATGGTGGTATACCAATCCGCATTAATAGTTCTTTGCTCATTAAAAGGAATTGTTGCAATATGACCCGCTTTTGACACAAATGTCGCGACCTCCTTTTTCGAAAACACTTCGAGAACGGATGACTTTTGTTGGCTCTTCTTCACCTTGAAACACCCAAACAGCCGACTGTCGTTTATTTTCTGGTTCATAACAGTAAATCCACGATTCATCACCACTAACAATGCTGTACACATTTTTTGTGTTTCCGGAATTCAAACGGTCAAGCGTTTTTTGACACCAATTAACCCTGGCTGTTTTCTGCTCTTCAGTCAACAGGTGGGGCATCCAACGAGAAACTAATTTTCTTACTCCTTATTCTTCATGTAAAATTTTTTGAATTGAGGTCTTTGAGATCTTCAAGGACGCCTCAATCTCGCGATATGTCACTTGTCTATCTTCAATGATGAGTTTGCGTACAGCATCGACGTTTTCCTGGGTGACTGCCGTTTTTGGTGCACCCACGCTGGGATCGTCGCTAAGACTCACCCGTCCACGTTTAAATTCTCCATACCAACGATAAATTGTCGACTGATGTGGCGTTTTGTTGCCGGAAACAGACAGTAACTCAGCAAGGCATTCTTGTTGCGATAATTGTCTCTGAAAGTTGTAATAAATTATGGCGCGAAAACGTTCTCGGTTGAGTTCCATTTTTCTAATGACTTGGTGACACTTAAAAATTCACTGAAGTGAGAACACTACACGTATCGTTGTGAAACTTTGAATTTAAGTTTACTAAAGAGTGAGGTTAAGATTCAGTACTGACGTTCGATCCGCGCGGCCTACTATGTTTCTATATGCAAAACTTAACTATAAAAATATAGAATGGGTAAATAAATATACTAAGTGACATATAAATCCGAACACCCAGTTTAAATGGTTTTATTTTAATAAAATTTTGTATAAGTACTTAATGAAGCATAATAAGTAAATGATAAAAATTTCAAAATGATTGCACTGCTTTAAAGCCCTTTGACCTTTAATAATGTGTGGATGCACCCTGATGTGCTACGCATCCTCCAACGCGCCTAGGCATGCTTCTGATCAGGTGGTCAATGTCCTCCTGTGGTATCTCATTCCAGGCAACCACCAACTCCTCTCGAAGTGCTTTTAGAGTCTGAGGAGGACGTTGCAAATTGAGCAATCTCCTACCCATCATATCCCACACGTGCTCAATTGGGGATAAGTCGGGAGATCTTGGTGGCCATGGTAACAATGTGACATCATTATGTTGAAAGAAGTCTATTGTGACTCTTGCAACATGTGGTCGGGCATTATCTTGTTGGAAAGTTGGATCTGCCAGGGTGTCAAGATAGGGTAAAAGATGGGATTCTAGAACTTCATGGATATAACGCTGCGCGTTCATGTTACCTCTGTTGAAGATTAAAGGTGACCTGGAACCATAAGCTGTAGCACCCCAAACCATAACTCCAACAGTGTGATGAACATGTCTTTCAACAAAAAACCATCGTGCATGCCTAAACAAAATCGAGACTCGTCACTAAAGACAATACTGTTCCATTTCTGATCCCAGGTTGACCGTTGTCTGCACCATTCAAGGCGATTACGTCGGTGTTCTCGAGTTAAAGGGAGGACCCAGTGTGGCCGGTATGAAAACAAGCCAAAACATCTCATTCGTCGCTAAACACTTCGCATGCCAATAGGTCTTCCGTGTTCTGCAAACCATTCATTTGCAATGGACCTGGTAGTGGAGAAACGGTCCCTTAAGGCCTGACAACACCTAACCACAGTGTCTACACTTCTTTGCACTCTAACTGCAATTGCCCGAAAAGAAAGTCCAGCTTCCCGAAGTCCCACTATACGGCCCCTATCAAACTCACTAACTTGACGAAATCGTACAGGTCTCCGTACTCTAGGCATCGTAACCGATCGTAAAGGATGTCAAGTACCAAAACCCGCCAATGTTGATTCTTTACTGCGGCTGAAATATTCATTTTTAGAGCGTTAGTGAATTAAAAAAAAGCAGTATAAATACCGGAATATCCAACTGATAAGGCTGAAAATTTTTTCACTTGTTATTTACAGTAAGATACATACATTCACCAACTTTTATTAAAATAAAACCATTTAAACTGGGTGTTCGGATTTGTATGTCACTTAGTATGTAATATAATAATATAGCAACAACGGTAGTTCATTGTCCAGAAGTCAAGAAAGACATTGTTATTTAGGGATTGCTCTGCCCAATAATTCTGCCTCCCAGTATGCCACACCACACATTTAAACTCCAACGCCCTTGGTCCTGAGCAGACTTCTTTGGGTGGATCTACACAATATGAATTATTGGTCTGCAAAAGATCTGAATTGGTTGCGTTCAAGTTCAGCACCAAGGGCGTTGGAGTTTAAATGTGTAAAATATTTTCCAGGTTTATCTCATGGCCGTTTTATAGGTTCCCTCGCATTCTTAATTGGCCACCCTGTTTAGCTTTACTTACATTTTTACAAACATGATCAATATGTTCCTTAAAATTTAGCCTGCTATGAAAATATGTACCGAGCATTTTTTTATCCCATACTATATTAATTATAGTTACATACCCCTCAGAGATATGACTGAGCAAATCACTTACATATACTAAGTGACATATAAATCCGAATACCCAGTTTAAATGGTTTTATTTTAATAAAATTTTGTACTTAATGAAGCATAATAAGTAAATGATAAAAATTTCAAAATGATTGCACTGCTTTAAAGCCCTTTGACCTTTAATAATGTGTGGATGCATCCTGTGGTATCTCATTCCAGGCAACCACCAACTCCTCTCGAAGTGCTTCTAGAGTCTGAGGAGGACGTTGCAAATTGAGCAATCTCCTACCCATCATATCCCACACGTGCTCAATTGGGGATAAGTCGGGAGATCTTGGTGGCCATCATTATGTTGAAAGAAGTCTATTGTAACTTGCAACATGTGGTCGGGCATTATCTTGTTGGAAAGTTGGATCTGCCAGGGTGTCAAGATAGAGTAAAAGATGGGGTTCTAGAACTTCGTGGATATAACGCTGCGCGTTCATGTTACCTCTGGTGAAGATTGGAGGTGACCTGGAACCATAAGCTATAGCACCCCAAACCATAACTCCAACAGTGTGATGAACATGTCTTTCAACAAAAAACTGTGGATTCCTCCTTTCACCACGTCGCCTTCTAACCCTGGCACGACCATCGTGCATGCCTAAACAAAATCGAGACTCGTCACTAAAGACAATTCTGTTCCATTTCTGATCCCAGAGTGACCGTTGTCTGCACCACTCAAGGCGATTACGTCGGTGTTCTCGAGTTAAAGGGAGGACCCAGTGTGGCCGGTATGAAAACAAGCCAAAACTTCTCATTCGTCGGTAAACACATCGCATGCCAATAGGTCTTCCGTGTTCTGCAAACCATTTATTTGCAATGGACCTGGTAGTGGAGAAACGGTCCCTTAAGGCCAATAATCTTAGGCGGCGATCTTCACGGTCTGTTGTTCTACGGCGGCGTCCAGTGCCCCTTGCTCTTTGCGTACGGCGTTCTCAAAGCCATGCCTGACAACACCTAACCACAGTGTCTACACTTCTTTGCACTCTAACTGCAATTGCCTGAAAAGAAAGTCCAACTTCCCGAAGTCCCACTATACGGCCCCTATCAAACTCACTAAGTTGACGAAATCGTACAGGTCTCCGTACTCTAGGCATCGTAACCGATCGTAAAGGATGTCAAGAACCAAAATCCGCCAACGTTGATTCTTTACTGCGGCTGACATATTCATTTTTAGAGCGTTAGTGAATTAAAAAAAAGCAGTATAAAAACCGGAATGTCCAACTGATAAGGCTGACAATTTTTTCACTTGTTATTTACAGTAAGATAAATACATTCACCAACTTTTATTAAAATAAGACCATTCAATCTGGGTGTTCGGATTTATATGTCACTTAGTATACAAGTTGAATAGGAGTGGAACCAATTCATATCCCTGAGGGATACCCCGCTCAACAGGATACACATCCACGGTTCACTTCAAGCTTTATGTCCTCCATAAATACCCTTAGTATATATTTTTTGCATCAACATATTTTTATCTATGGTGTCACATGTCTTAGATAGATCGGAAGTCAGTCAAGTTTATCATAGACGTGTACAAGTGAGTTCCAACAGATCGTTCTGCTCGAAACCCATGTTAAGATGTATTGAGGACACCAGACTGTTCAGCAAAATTATATAGTCGATGATACACGGCTTTCTCTATGACCCTGAGGGGTCCCCTGCTCGACAGAATATACAGGGTGGCGCATCGAAAACGAAACAGACGCATTTACTGGCAGCTCATTGTTTTTTACAAAAACGCCCAGACCCGTCGATTTTGTTTTAGAGGGGGACACAAGTTTGGCAAAAAATCACAAAGGCATCTGCAGCCCCCTAAGCGGGGGTGACACCACTCCCAAAATCTTAAATCGAAAGGGGAGGTCGAGTGATACCTTATTTTAAAGATCTTTCAATTCCATTTATAATGATATAAAATTAATGTACTTCAGTTCAGTAGTTTTGAGGATTTATTGATTTAAAGCTTAAATAAAACTAATACACCATCATTAGTGGAGATCAATACATTTGGCGGCAAAGTAATTTAAAAATGAAGAATGAACCGACCAATTAGGCCAGTAAATGTTGAAAATGGCCACCATGACTCTCCATGCAATAATAAAGATTTTGCTTAAAACCTTGCAGCACATCTTGCAATATTTGAGGAGTAATTTGAAGGCACTCATTCACAATTCTTTGTCGCAGGTCTTCTAATCATGTTGGCTGAGTAGCATAGATTTTGTTTTGAAATCCAAAGGTGATAAATCTGGCAATCTTGGGGGCCATTCAATGGCACCTCTTCTATCAATCCATCGATCTGGAAACGTCTGATCTAAATACTGTCGAACACGTCATGTGTAATGTGGTGGGGCACCATCCTGTTGGAACATCAACCAATTCGCAATGTACCGCCGATCATTCTGATTTTCAATTATGGCTGTTAATGCAGGATCTATGGCATCTTCCAGTAGTTCCAAATACATTTCACCGGTCAAATTTCCAGGTAAGAAAAAAGGCCCAACTAAATGATCGCCCAAAATACCAGCCCAAACATTTAATTTTTGTGGCTGCTATGTATGGACCTCATGATAAATTCTGGGATTAGAATCGGACCAATATCGTCAGTTATGACGATTTGCTACGCCATTTAAGAAAAGGGAACATTCGTCGGAAAAGCAAGTGTTGAATAGAAAATGTTCATCGTTTATAATTCGTTCATTTATATCTTAACAAAATTGTAATCGCCGATCAAAATCGTCTTCATTAAGTTTTTCTACTAGGTGAATTTTATACGGATGAAAATTATGGGACTTTAGAATCCGTTGGACAGTACGTCGACTAACACCACACACAGTCTCCAATTTGCGGGTACTTAACGTAGGATCTACATAAACTTGCCTTAAAACCCCCACTTCTATTGCTTCGTTCCCTATGAGATTTTCAAAGTTGCGTTTTTTATTGGCGACTGACCCAGTCTCCCGAAATTTAGCTACAAGTTCTAGAACATATTTTCGATGCACGTTACTGCTCTCATGTCGCTCATTACATATTTCTGCTATTCTGTTAGCTCACTGATTATTTCCGAAAAATATTTCGATAATTTCAACTCTTTCTGCTGTGCAATATACCATGGTTAATTGATGTAATAAAGCGTTACAAGTTATTTTAGCAACAAGGTTTGGTCAAATCAATCGCAAACTATGTACTAAATTCCTATTTAAAATATGTACGAGATATTTCCTTATCTTTCTCCAAGAAGTAACTTTTTTGCCACAAAAAAACGCTCCAATAGCTATTTTCAACAACAAAATGATAGAAAAACCATGGGCGTGGTGAAGAAAAGCATTTACTTATTAAGTAAATTCTTTTAGTCAAATTTCTTCTGAAAGTAGTACAAACTAATCTGATGTACCTATTAAAGTCTACTTTAAGCTTTAAATCGATAAATCTTCAAAACTACTGAACTGAAGCTCATGTATTTTACATCATTATAAAGGGAATTGAAAGACCTTTAAAATAAGGTATCACTCGACCTCCCTTTCCATTTAACATTTTAGGGTTGGTGTCACCCCCGCCCAGTAGGCTGCACGTGTTAACGTGATTTTTCACCAAGCTTGTGTCCCCCTCGAAAACAAAATCGACGGGTCTGAGCGTTTTCAAAAAAAAAAAAACTGAGCTGCCATTAAATGCGTCTGTTTCGTTTTCGATGCGCCATCCTGTATACCAAATACTGTAGTTTTAAGGTACACTTTCTGTCCACCATGTACACACTGTACTACTCCACAAGTAACTGATTGTCGACTGACTATCTGGAAGACTCATCTAATGATACCCTTCTTTTTCTTCCAGGTACCCTTTTCGCAATATCAGATGGCATGACCTACGGCTGGACAGCTCCTTTCATCCCCTACCTTATAAGCAATGGAAGCCACATCCACACTGACCATGACGAAGCTCAATGGTTGGAGAGCTCCCTCCTTTTCGGCTCATTTTGCGGTCTACCAGCTACAATAATACTCGTGGACTACGTCGGAAGAAAGAAATCTCTTCTACTAGCATCCTTTACAGTACTCATAGCTTGGATTGCCATAGCATTCGGAGATAGCATGATCTACATCTTCATCGCCAGGTTCTTCAAGGGAATGGCTGGAAATATGGCGTTTGTTGCTGCGCCAATGTATATAGCGGAGATAGCTGATCAGAGAATTCGAGGTTTTCTCTCCAGTGTCATCTATATCATGATGCTGTTTGGCTGCCTGATAGTATACTGTGTCGGACCGTATCTCCCGTACTATACGCCGTGTGTTATTGGAGTCTCAGTAGCTGCATTGGAGCTGCTGATATTCTCATTTGTACCTGAATCTCCACTGTATCTAGTCACCAAAGGAAAGATCGAAGAAGCCAGGAAGTCGTTGCAACATTTCAAGCCTTACCTTGACGTAGACAAAGAACTCAAAGTCATCACAGACGAGCTTGAAAGTCAAAAAGAACAAAAAGCAAAGTTAACTGATCTCGTGACTGTGGCTAGCAATAGAAAAGCTATACTGATCATGACTGTACTCAATGCTGGCCAGCATCTTTGCGCGTACAGTGTCATCTTGATGAATTTACATTTGATCTTGGAGGCTGCTGGTTCTATCTACATGGATTCTTCAATCGCAGCTATACTTTTTGCTGCGTTGATGTTGCTTGCTGCGGCGTTTGCGTCGTCTCAAATAGACAAGTATGGAAGAAAGGCGTTGCTTATATTCTCAAGCGTTCTCACTGGAGTGTGCCTTGTAGCTATAGCTATCTATTTCCATTTGAAGATAATAGGAGTTGACGTTTTGGCTGTAAGTTGGATACCAATAGCGTCAGTGATGGTATACGCAGCGGTATTCAAGATTGGCGTTGGTCTAGTGCCTATAGTGATAACAGCCGAGATATTCCCGACCAACCTCAAGACTATTGGGATGACTATGTCAGATGCTATGTTTATCATTGGTGGAATTCTTGCTATCCAACTGTACCAGTGGATGGTCAAGTTTGTTGGGCTGTATGCCGCCTTCTATTTCTTTGGATCGTTTGCATTTTTCATAGCTATTTTCACGATATTGTTTGTGCCAGAGACGAAAGGCAAGTCTCTAGAAGAGATACAGTCTATGTTAAGAGGTGAAAAGGTAATCTAGTGTGATGGAAACAGAATGTGATACAAAGGAGGAAAGATAACTAGCTAACCGTTGAGAGAAACTTTTCCAGGATGAGATCGTAGACATATCTGGCTTAATCTCTGTCAAGAGGAAGGGGTGTTTACTAGATCTGTGATTATTCTTATTTAAGGACTCGTGGAGACGGTGTTGATCCTGATTTGTCGTCGAATAGTCGAGCAGCTCATTTCAAATAGTAGGTTAAGCAGTATACAGTTATTTATTTTTTCAATAAATATCAACAGTGAGATTTTGTTTTACTTCGCCGTGCTTGTTAGGTAAAACAGTGTTCGTGGATGAAATAATGGAATTTGTTGACGTCCATGGTTAACTATAGAAAACTTTGTTATTAATCTTTAATAAAAACGTCACTCATTTCTTTCAACTTATTGGCTTACACCACTTCTGTCACTGCTTGACCTCAGTAACCGCGGAATTGATTTTTCTAGGATTTTGGAAGCCACTTGTTGTGGATTCCTAATTGCATCAAATGATCCCAAAACATTCAAGCCTATATTAAATGATTTTCAAGTTCCCAAACAGTTCCCGAAGAAGAAAGAAAGAGGAACTTCTTGTTGTATTTCTCAAGCAGACTGACTTTTCAAGACACAGTAAATTATTATTAAGGTTAAGTACCAAATGTGGGTTACTAGATCGTAATTTGCAGAATGTCAGCATGGTTTCACCAAAGGCAAGATAATACAAACGCAACCTTTCCGAACAGTTAAAGCCATTTCAGATACACCTGGATAACGTGATCATGCCGCATTGGTTACTACATACCTCTCAAAAGACTTTGACTCTATTAGCGAATGTTCTAGAAGTTCTGGCACAAAATAATTATCGGGTTTCTTTGAATGAAGAAATTTATTTTAGCAATAAGTAGTTATCATAAATTGCAACTCAATACTTAACTAAACTATACTATCAAATTATATGGAGTGGAGTAGACAGTGAATCCTCGGACCGATCAGTGGAACCTATACTTTGCTGATCTGCAGACAGAAAATATTGATGGACAAACGATGTCACAGTACGCAGGTGATTTGCGCATGCTAAATGAATCTATACAGCAAAACACAGCCATCATGAGACCAAGGTGGGCCATGGAAGAAATATTTAAATGCTATGATCGGTGCAATACTTGTAATACATAGAAAACCAAGTGTATTGCATTTTGAAGAGCACGAAAGTATCTTAAACAGAACAGGATTAGCAGGAATGGGGAGCGCACAAAAAATTTTTAGAAAACAAGACAAATTAGTGAAGCCGATTTTGGCCAAAGTAGATCATCTTATCAGAGACAAGAAAAGGTAAACACTTACATATGTTTATCCGGTTTTAATAATTTTTGGCATATGCAGGGTGGCGCATCGAAAACGAAACAGACGCATTTACTGGCAGCTCAGTTTTTTTTGGAAAACGCTCAGACCCGTCGATTCTGTTTTCGAGGGGACACAAGTTTGGCAAAAAATCACGTTAACACGTGCAGCCCCCTGGGCTTAACCCTTAATAATATTTGGCAACAGTTTCACATACTATTGTAAGTAATTTAAAATCATTTTGCACATTAGTTGCTATTTCTTCTTAATGCTGTTACAGCTCCTGATGATGATGGCAAAGTCCATTGAAAGCTAGATACTAATAAATTATAAAAAATCCTCATTGCTTGAATTTTGTCGAAGCACCCAACTGAAGGCGGAAGCTTTATTTTTCACCTATATATACTCGAATAAGTGAAAAATTAAAGCTTCCGCCTTTTGTTGGGTACTTCGACAAAATTTAAGCAAAGAGGACTCTTATACTTTTTTATTCTCTCTAGCTTTCAATGGACTTTGCCATCATCAGGAGCTGCAGTTATAATGATAACAGTAGCAACAATAGTGTAAAATGAATTTAAATTGACTTAACTTACAGTAGTATGTGAGGATGTTGCTATTTGTTGTTTACGTTCAGGATGAGGGAAGCGCCCAGTAACATGGTGAAAGCTGGATAGATGGTACAATGGTCAAAATTATATGAAATACACACAAATGTGTGACAAGAACAAGTTAAAAGCAGATTAAACATTTTTAGAACATGCATTACATCGTGAAGCCACTTGATGATTGCACAAAATGGTGGTCATGGAATAATGAGTGAGATGAACCCTTTGACAGAGGGCCGAAAGTTGTCAATGTCTGTGTAGAAAGATGGAACGAATTGTGGGCGTGTGCCACGTTGCCAAATCACTTCAGATGATGTGATTTTCAGAATGTTATGTAAGAAAAGTAATCCTTCCTTTAAGAGATCTGGAGGTCTGACCTATGTATATTTGGTTGCAATTGTTGCAATTGATAGAGTAGACTGTGAAGGATTACTTCACACAAAAGTGATTCTAGGCTTCATCCTGAAAGATGCGCTCTAGCATCTCATGTTAACACAACAGGGCACTCCATGAATTACACAAGTATCAAAGTTCTTGATAAAGGAAAACACCTATCCAAACGTTTATTCCTGGAAATGTCCCACATTTTCATGAATAACAACTGTATCAACAAAAAGACAGATGTTAAGCAACTAAGTGTCATTTACTCATATTTGCTAAACTGCGAAAAATTGGAGCACTTACATATCTCCCCAAATTTTCACTCTTCACAACCATAAATGGAATCTGTTTCTTGGTCGATTCCACCGATAAACTTCATTCCACTCAAATTCTAATAATTTTCTCCTCACGATTTAATAATAATTGTAATTTAATTGCCCATTAATTAAAATATAGTTAATTCAACTGCCTCTGGTCGGTTTAACAATTTCTTACATAACATTCTGAAAATCAAATCATCTGAAGTGTGTCGGCAACGTGGCAATTCGTTCCATCTTTCTACACAGACATTGACAACCTTCGGCCTTCTGTCAAAGGGTTCATCTCACTCATTATTCCATGACCACCATTTTGTGCAATCATCAAGTGGCTTCACGATGTAATGCTTTCGTGTTCTAAAAATTTTTATTCTGTTTTTAACTTGTTCTTGTCACACATTTGTGTGTATTTTATATAATTTTGACCATTGTACCATCTATCCAGCTTTCACCATGTTACTGGGTGTTTCCCTCATCCTGAACGTTAACAACAATTAGCAACATCCTCACATACCACTGTAAGTTAAGTCAATTTAAATTCATTTTAAACTATTGTTGCTACTGTTATCAATGTAATTGCAGCTCCTGATGATGATGGCAAAGTCCATTGAAAGCTAGAGAGAATAAAAAAGTATAAAGAGTCCTCTTTGCTTAAATTTTGTCGAAGTACCCAACAAAAGGCGGAAGCTTTAATTTTTCACCTAACTGGTCTAGACGACAATGACCACGTCTCAAGTTATACTCGTATATATATATATATTGTTCATGCCAAAATAAATCGATTAGTAAAACGTTCTTGAATTCTAATAAACATAGGTACGGCTTTACCTTATTTTGTCACTCAATATACTTTGTAAAAAGGTTTGATCCTACGTCCCCCACCCTCCTCCTGGTACTTCAGCCCTTCCCTAACGTACATATTTTGAGTATATACAGAAGCAATATAGTTTTTGTTTTTCACTGTTCATATATAAGCCAAATGCATCATATGTAACATAATCTATATAAAATGAAAGTTTCAAACTGAATTGATTGATTATAGGCAACCAAGTTTTCCCTGATTTGTTAAAGTTGTACGGATGTTTTTGGATCCAATGGCACCTCTGTACAGGCTTGAAAACAAGACGTAGTAGTTGAGACTTGTGTTTTTTCGAATTTAATCCGGTGAGTTGTTTTCATGTTAAATATGGACACTGGTCACGAGAATAGAAGGATGTCCCAAGAAAATGAAATTCCTTTTTTCAAATGGATTTTGCTTGAAAAATGTTAAAACAATTGTAAAAAGAGCTTGCATTAAAATTGTCGAACTCATTCCTTTAATGTTTGGGCTGTGAAATACAGCTTCAATTTTCGCTCCATATATAGCAGACCGTGTTTCTGTCAGTGCTGATTGAACGCAAGCGTACAATGTTTGGCATTTTTAAATAAGCACCAAGCCCATTGTCCGTACGTTTTATTGATAGTTATTCGGGGTTAGCCTTTGTCAGCTGTGCCCGTGCGTCAGTGCATAAACAGTCTACTGTAACGGTAACGAGAAAAGCCGTAAATAAAATCGACAGGCAATGTTTTCTATCTAAAAATCGTCTGTTGACCTACAAGCTAAAAAAAGGTGGTTCTTGGCGCGCTATTTGGATTTCGGTCTGGGCATAGTACGGAGTTATAAGCGGTTAGGTTTGTGGAGCTGGTAACTAGAGGCTTGACCCTTAACGAAGATGCTGACATCTTGAAACTGGCATATGACATGGTGTGACACAAGGACCTCCTCTAAAAGCTAATCCAAAAGAGCTTTCCATGTTGATTCCGAAAGCTTTTGAAATTCTTGGAGGTAGGAAATTTTGGATCAAGGTTAATAATGTCTTGTCGACAGTACGGCTCATCAGAGACCGTGTTCCTCAGGGTTCGGTTCTCGGACCAATCCTGTTCTCAATTCTCACTCATCACGTCTCTTGGAACCACGGATAGACAATACTCCAGCCTGAACCTAGGACTATTGACTATAGTCTGCTTTTAAGGTACATATGGATCCATGTTCTACCTTTGTAACAATCTCAAAGAAGTCCATAATCTTCCCCTCGAAAAACAAGCACGTTCGACTAGTTTGAAGTCGTCCAGCAAAATAAAACTCCTTATAAAAGCTGTCTGACAATTCCGGTGCGCGTTATAATTCTGTCTGGATATTCTCTGGAGTCGAGACCGAAGCGGGTTACGATGTCGATGTGCAATGTGCATGTTGTTTTCGGTCACTGAACGAGGAAAATCAATGGAACAGAGAAGCAGTGGCGTATCCGAGGATGCACTCAGTTTCTTCTATGCCGAAGCAGCCGTGTAGGCAGAAACCTGAATGCCACCTTGTTAATAAGCCTCTTTAGGTCATTGTTCCACAATCTCCATGCCTTGAGGGCAAAGGAGCGGACATATCGACGAGTATATACAGGGTGTCCCAGAAGTCGACGTCAAGCCGAAACCGGGTGATAGGCAAAGTCATAACAGCTATCAGAAAAATATTTAAAAAAATTATATGTATCTGTTTTGAAAGTTATAGGTCTTTGAAAAAAATATATAAATTTCACACCCTACGGCAGTCTGTCAACTCCTGTTACTACAAATATTAACTTTTTTTGGATTTTATTTTTACAATGTAATTATGAATAATGCATCTTCAAACTGGTGTCTCAACCTTACTGCCAACTTTTCTCGTTCAGGAAAAATTGCCACTTATTTTCCAACCAAGTATTCCAAAGTAAAACTTTGCTCAACTTT